GAGATGCCCGGCCGTGTTAGTCTGTATCAGCAAAAAGAAGAACAGGAGGACTTGTGGCACCTTAGAGACTAACAAATTTATTAGAGCATAAGCTTTCGTGGACTACAGCCCACTTCTTCGGATGCATATATATATATATGTGCCCTTATATATATGCATCCGAAGAAGTGGGCTGTAGTCCACGAAAGCTTATGCTCTAATAAATTTGTTAGTCTCTAAGGTGCCACAAGTCCTCCTGTTCTTCTTTTTGCGGATACAGACTAACACGGCTGCTACTCTGAAACCTCCTGTTAGCATAAGCTGTGCCTACACTAGGGGCCTCTATACCAGCAAAGTATTTGTGGTGTAGATGAGGCTTTAGTCTTAAGACTGGTCTATACTACACAGTTAGGTTGAGGTAAAGTAGCTTACATTGACCTAACTATGTCAGTGTCTACACTACAGCCTTCCTCTCACTGATGTAAGTACCCTACTACACTGACATAATAAGTCTACCCCCATAAGAGGCATAAGGCTTATTGTCAGTGTAGAGGTTAGGGTGATGCAATGTCTCTGTAGACACTACCTTACTTACTTTGGCTGCTGGCTGTCTTATCAATTTCATGGCAGGAGCCTGAATTTGACCAGAAAGCCTGGCAACCAGAGCCCAGCTGGATCCTGTTCCCAGCGGGGAGCCAGGGCGAGAAGCCCAGGCGTCTGGACCCCGCTCTCCGGGGCCAAGAAGCCCCTGGAGCCACTTGCCCCCCGCTCCCTGTGGGTAACGGGGAGCCAGGGATGGGGGCCCACCCAGGCGCCTGTGGTGCCGCAGGGCTTCTGGCAGGGAGTTACTGGGCCTCTTCGGTCAGTGGAAGCGCTCCTGGCAAGGACGCGCACTACTGACCCACGGAGGGTACTGTGGACATGCACCACCACAGTAATTACTGCAGTGGCTGTAAGTCGACCTAATATAAGCCGACTTACCTTTCTAGTGTGGACATGCCCTTGGAGTCTGCGTCTGGTTCGCAGAACTAGTGTGGAACTGTTCTTCCACCACAAATTTCACTCTGGTGGATGCTGCATTTTCTGCCACAAAAAAATCCGACGGCTAAGTCCTGACCAACTCCGTTAAATGGGGTTGAAGTCACTATTGAAACCTCCGCCACTTTCTTGCGCGGACAATGCTGGCGTCTCACTCACACTTCTCCTCATACACACAATCTCTTCTCTCCTCTCCTCACAACTTCACTGCCACTCTCAGAAGCAAATTCTCTCTCTCTCTCTCTCTCACACACACACACACAGTGCCTGTACCTCATTCACCCCCATGTCTGCCTCACACGTCACACACCGCCCCTCACGCCCGCCCACAGGCGCCCCCTGCCAGGCGCGCCCCGCAGCCCGCCCCGCCGGACGGAGAAGGAGGCGGTGGCAGCGGCTCCTCCCCCGAGGGGCGGGACCGGGGCCCTGTCCGGCAGCCGCGCTGACGAGCCGGAGCTCGCTTGGCTGTGGCGCCTGCGTCCAGCCCCGGGCAGTTAGGAGCCGCCTCTCTGCACCCGGCTTCTGCATGGCCGCTGCTGCCGCCTTCTGCTTGGCCCAGAGCCTGCGGCTGCGCCCGGTCGCGGGGGCGAGGTGAGCGGCTGCAGGAGCGGGGCACCAGGGAGGGGAGCTCCCGGGCTGTTGGGGTTGGGGGGCTGAGCACTGACAGAGCGAGCCTGGGCGTCCTGTTGCCTTGCTGCGAGGCGGGACCCGCCGAAAACCTCAGCCCAGTGCCTGGCTGGCTCCGACCAGGACCTGGTTAGGGGTGGAAAGTTTCACGGGCAGGGGCCTGTGCAGAGTAACATGGAGCCTCCCTGCCCCCCGGCTGTGGGGTCCCGTGCAACCTGCAGCTCCCTCCTCCAGGACACGCCACCCACCCCAGTCCCTGAGAACACCCAGCTACCCCCAAGGAGAGGGAGGACTAGTGAACAATAGGAGCCAGAGAGCCCAGCAGGGAGGGGAGAGGGGCCCGGGGGTGTACGCATTGGGAACAGGCATCCTTTCAGTGAGGCATCGGGAACAGTCACTCTGCTTCTAGTGCTGATGTTAATGAGTAACAAACTTTTTCCTTCTGCAGGACTGTGTAACTCTTGTTTTAGCATCTCACTTTTCACACACCTGCTAATAGGCGTTTTCTGCTGCCAGAATGATTGTTTTTGCTCGGTTCATTCCCTCAATTTGTTTTGTAGGCTGAGGGGTCATCTTTATTATAAAGGAGTCATGTTGAATTTTAACCACTTCGTCATTTAAGACACGTTATTTTCTAAGTCAAAAGTCATAGTCTTGCCCTCAAGTTGTGGCTTTTTTTTAAGTTGACATTGCCAGCTAGTTTATTCCAAGTATTTAGTTAATATAAACTGCTCTAGGGGTCACAAGCTATCTCACATGTTCTATGCAGTTGCTATCAGTGTTAGAGAGAAAATATAATAAAAGTTTTATAAACTTTAAAAGTGGCATGAGAGCATGCTAGGTCTTTTTCAAACATTTACATGCTTAAAGATAAACAGGCAAATAGTCCTATTGAGGTAATGGAATTAATTTCATTCTTAAAGTTTAGCATATGTATAAATAGTTGCAGTATTTGGAACTTGAACACTTCTTGTTCAGTTAAGATTTAAAGCTTTCTTGTAAAGAGTTGGTAACTAAAAAAAAAAACCCTGCAGTATTGTGGTAGCTCCTGAGAACCAGAAAGTGAAACTGACAAGTCTTTTCTTCATCAAGACTGAATGGATTGCCAAATACACCTCTATCCCGATATAACGTGACCCGATATAACACGAATTCGGATATAACGCAGTAAAGCAGTGCTCCGGGGGGCAGGGGGGAGGCTGCGCAGCGCACTCCGGCGGATCAAAGCAAGTTCGATATAATGCGGTTTCACCTATAACGCAGTAAGATTTTTTGGCTCCCGAGGACAGCGTTATATCGGGGTAGAGGTGTAGTATTAATAGTGAATAAATTTGGTTTCTTAGTAAAATCAGCTGATTTTAAAAACAGATTTATACCCCAAAGTGTCCCTTTGAAAATCTTTTACAACTTAGATAGTGCTGAATGAGAGTCATAGATTCACTATATTTTAAAGTTGTAAATTTTCAGAGAGAATCTGGTCCTTTATTTCAAAACAGAGGAGTTTATTCTAAACCAGTAATTCCACTGCTGAATAATTAAAAGGACATCTGCAGATCTTTTAGAAAGATAAGAGCATAAGCTTTCGTGGGTGAATGCCCACTTCATTAGACGCAAGTAATAGAAATTTCCAGAGGCAGGTATAAATCAGTATGGAAATAACGAGGTTAGTTCAATCAGGGAGGGTGAGGTGCTCTGCTAGCAGTTGAGGTGTGAGCACCAAGGGAGGAGAAACTGCTTCTGTAGTTTGATAGCCATTCACAGTCTTTGTTTAATCCTGATCTGATGGTGTCAAATTTGCAAATGAACTGGAGCTCAGCAGCAGGGCTGGCTCCAGGCACCAGCTGAGCAAGCTGGTGGTTGGGGCGGCCGAATGGTCGAGGCCGGAATCCGCCCCA